CCCCAAAACCCCAAAACCCCAAAACCCCTAAGAGTTGATGATTAATTGAAATCTTCAGGAGTTACAAATTATGCCTGGCCGTATAGTGTTCTAAATTTTTATGAAGATATTCTCTTTTAAAGATCTTAATCATAGGCAAAATTTCCAGTTATTTGAACATGGCCAAGACCATTTTCATCAAAAACTTCTTCAACATCTCTCTTGGCCAGCAGATGAGTATATCCAAACCCAATTTCCTTTAGAGTGTCCCGAAGATCTGTATTGGAAAACCAATTTGCTAGATGACTTAACCCTGATAGGTCCGAGGACCAGTTACTATATTCAGGTTTTTCTCAATCCCATAGCTCTATTTCCTTAATACAACTCCCTCTCATGGCCCTCGTCCACCTCCCGTTCTCCCTCATCCCAATCCTACACTGCTGGAACCTCACTGTCTTCACTAACCTCACTGCTACAAATAATTTCTTCAGTTCTCGCCCAGAGAGCACGAAGTGGCCCAAGTCGATCAAGCATGTCGCCTTGTGGCAGGATTTTATGAGTGAAGGGAGATAAGCAGTAATTGGGCTTAGGTTAAGGCATTTTAGTGAAAGAATTTGGAGATTGGTTGGAAGTATGCAGTGGGATAGGAAGCGTTTAATGTGTCCGCTTGGTCTAGTCAGGTCTCATAGTAATGTTTTGGATAGTTTGGGGAGGTGAAGTTTACTCAGTTTGGTTAGGAATGGATGATGGTAAGTGTTGCTGAGGAATATATTTAGGCAGTTGTTAGGACCGATTCGATGTCCTCCTTCTAGCATGTTAAAATATTATGTTTTCATAGCAGTCAGAGTAAGTTTTGGAGTCTTGTAAAGAAGATTTAGACTCATCAAATTTTGAGCAGCTATTCTTTCCCTTGACATCTCTCTTCATTTCTTCATGCTCTAAAATACCTGACTCCAAACCCTTCCGCAACAATGCCCCACGCTCTCTCACCAGCTCAACCCTCTTCATACCCCCCAAATCCTGCTCTTCTACCCCCAATCAGCCCTCTCACTCTCCTGACTAATTTCCCCACCCTACCCCCATACAGACCACCACCCCTGAAGCATAATACTCTATCTCACCTTCCATCTCTTCGACTGCACTGTCAATCTCTTCTAGTCTTGTTCCTAAAATCTGTACTTCTCTATTTCTCAGGAAGGAGCTGGAGGAAGGCTGGCTTCTAGACCAGGAAGCTCTGTTTGGGCTGGGTTTGGAGTGGAGGTCTTCCTGTGGTTCCATTTTTTATTACTGGGAGGGGTTTTGGGGTTTTGGGGTTTTGGGG